ATGTCCCGCTGCCTTAGTTTTTATATTGTAGATAATATTTTTGACTTCCTCTTCTGAAACCGGCTTTAAATTTAGTTCATCATGTTCCGATATATCAACCAAGTTCATACTCTTTGTATTAAAATTTGTTTCAGGGCAAGGTGGTAAGTTCAGGAAATGATCGTTTATTCTGTCTGGGTCGTTTAGGTGATCAGGAATTGTGCTTGGCTTTATCATTATAATTGTACCAAACTGAGAAGTTTGGTTCAGTAAACTTTTAAAAAGTAACTAGTGTAATAACACTAGTACTAGTACCAATAAGTAGTAATAGCATACGTTAACATAAATCTTACTAATATTATAAATGTGAATGGATGGATGAATAATTATTAGAGTTTACCGCTTAAACGGCTAAACGAATCTCGATGTTTGCATAGACGTAGTTCATAGTATAGAAGAATACATAGGCTACTTGCTTTTGTTTTCTTAAAACCGTTCGGACGGAGTTGCGGTTAAAATCTAGTTCTTAGTAATAAGTAAATTCAGCTTACCTTACAGATAAGTTTCATCCACATTCTACTTTTCAATAACGTCGGTAATATCGGGCGTTATGAATTTTCATTTGGCCGAGCCAGGAACGTGGTACGTGCCTCAAATATGTTATGGCATGCTGAAGAAAAAATGCCAAGAATCCACACCGCGCATTAAATATAAATATCTCGAATTTGCGGCACCCAATATGCGGGGAACGTAATACTGGATATTTTCCTTTATCAAATGAAAAATATGAAGACTTAATATGCTCTTGTTTGGAATATTCTTACACGCACGGGGTAATAACCGCTGTAACTAGCGTTAAAACTTTTAAGGTACATTTACATCGTAGTAAATCCATGTAATAAGGCTTTAATAATCTAGTTTCTATATTTTTATAACGATTCTTATAAACAGTGGTAGTGCCCGCTTTAACATTTCGCATGAATGGGTCGGCTCGCCCGGTGTAATACCACGACCACACAGAAGACAGGCGTGAAGTGGGAGCAATTCCGCGTCTAGTCTGATGAGCGTAGTACCGGAGGCCCAACTTTAAACCCTTTTTCTTCCTACACTTTATCTTATAAGTAAAGGACTGGAAGGGAACGTGGATTTGAAGATAGAGACGTATAGGAAAGGGAAACATCCTCTTATGTGCGTCTCCTACGTCACTTAAGGGTAGGCAACGCATTCGCTATTGCGAATGAAAACAAGAACTAATTACCGATTGTATGTTAAAAGAAATGTAAATAAAAGTTTTTTCGTTTTAGGCGGTTATTTATCATTGAAACTATTTGACGGTGTAAAATCATAAAGCAGAGTGGAGCGGGAGTTGCTCATTAATTTGACGAAGTTAGTAAACAGTTTGACTACATTATAGCCAATAAATTAACTAAATCTACGTATAAATTAAGCCGCCTTAATAATTAAGTTCGGAACGGCTTAGTAAACATAGCTAGCCCTGACTTGGAGAGTTCTTACCTGTTATTAATTGGGTCATTCTGCTATAAATATTATGCGTTATGTTTTGATTAAAAGAACCAACAACTTAAAGCAATTATTCCAATATCGTTAGTATTGTGTAATCATACTAATATTATAAATGCGGAAGTTTAGATGGATGGATGTTTGTTAAAGTTTGTAGCCTAAACTACTAAACGGATTTTGATGAAATTTGATATAGGTATAAAGGATACTCTACTCACTAGGAAGAACACATATTACTCACTTTGTTTTTTTTTTTAATTTTAAGCGGACGGAGTTCCGCGCGACAATTAGTAGTTCATAAACGTTAGTTTTCTGAGATAAATTTAGATTTAGCATATGTCAAATGGAGGTATAGGCATCTAGCAGTTTTAGATAATTTGATTACACCAATGCATGATTTAATTGTTCAGTGGTTTAAGCACTTGACTTGTAATCTACAGGTCTTGGGTTCGAATCCCGCCGTGTACCAATATGATTTTCAATTTTTCGAATTTTCATATGTACATAATTTACCCGACGTTCTTACGGTGAAGGAAAACATCGGGATGCAACCTGCACATATCGGCGAAGAAATTCAAAGATATGTATGAAGTCGACCAACCCGCACTGGGCCAGCGTGGTTGACTATGGCCTAATCACCCTAATTTAGGGTAGGCTCCGAGCACCTCGGTGGGGACATAGAGTGAGCTGGTGATGATGATGATGATGATTTAATTACGTCTGTAATACTGTTAAGTGTAAGAAATATAATATTAGTGATCATACTACATAACAACCACTAATACAACATTGATAGACATAGAAGATGTGAATTTAAGTATACTTTATTCTTATAGCGAAGAGATTCAAGTGTAATAGGATAAAGTTTTGACAGTTATGCAAAATATTTGATAGTGTAGTGTCGGGGTGCCTGCTAGCATGCTTACAATATTAATGTCGTAGTATGCGCAGACTGGAATGCCTGCCATGTAAGCTGTCGTGTTAGATGACGCAGTTTCACTCGTGTCAGATATTTTAATATCCTATAAGAACTTTGACTTCGAAAAATCTCACTTAAATTATGTTCAAAGATGATCGTAGTCCAACGTTTTATTAACACATTTGGAGAATACTTCGTATTAATTAAATATCTCTTATTGTCAAATACAGTTTTTTTTTCATATTAATTAATAATTGAACATTTCTAAATTGTCTTTTCTTTCACAGGTGCGACCGTCAGCAAAACAGACGACCTAAAATCAAATCAAATGTGTAGATGTAGAAATTTAACAATAAAATCAAGAAGCCCGAAGATGAAGAGGCGATCGCTGCCGACCGTCCGCGAGGAGAGCCGCGGGATCAGCTTGTGCAACAGTGATTTAGTAATCTACGTAATGGTGACGGCCACTGCCGTGTTCAGTTATGTGAACAGTTTGAATGGTGACTTCGTACATGACGACATCCCCGCGATAGTAACCAATGGTGATGTCGTCGGCACCAATTCCTTGAAGCAACTTCTGCTGAACGACTTCTGGGGTACACCGATGTCGGACCCTAGTAGTCACAAATCGTATCGACCGCTCACCACACTTTCTTTTCGGTAAGTAACATATACAAAAGTGCCACAAGACATGTGTTATGTCTGAATGTATGTTTTCTTGAATTTATAAAGATCTTTTCATATATCATATCAGCGAGTGTTATCTGAACGCATGGAAGGACCAGTGTTAACGAGGATATAACATGCTGGAAGTTGGACGAGTCATGCTATTTTCTTCCAAACGATTACCGTTGGACTTTCGCAACCTTTAGATAACATATAGCTACGTCATCAATTAGTTAACCTTCTAAAATAAGTATATCCCTCTAGTTGTTACAGAATAATCTACCATAACACTTAAGGCCTAATACTGAAACGAAATTAACACTTCACTTCGTTAGTGCCGCTTGCATTGACGATATCCTAATGAAATTTGAAGTAAAGGCGTGGCCTTAACATTTAAGATGCTGTTAATTATTTAAATTTAGTTTCAGTATTCGGCCGTTAATCAGTATAAATATGCAAGATAACTTCGCTACTAAGAGACACACACATAAGTTTCAAACAGATAAACTCAAAAACTACGGTGCAGATTTTAAAATTTCTTTAACTATTGAAATGCTACATTATACCTGAATAACATGCCGGTTATTTTACATCAGCCTCTTCTAAAATATAGCTTAACAAATAAATATTCGTAATAGATGTATACTCCTCTCCCATCTTAAAGTCACACATAAATATTCCGCGAGGCAAGTCTATTCATCACCGCGTGTGCGGACAACGAATTTAATATATCAACCTGAATAACGACCACTTATAAATGCTGAAATAACACATTTTCTATATTATTATGCCATAATAGTAAGCTTACTTACATTGAAAAGAAAATGTGAATTTAACAATTTTATTCAAATGACTTAATACTTGTAGATTCTATGCATTTTTTTAGATTTTAAAACTGTTAAGTCATATAGTTCGTCTTATAAGAAGAGTACAGAATAAAAATTAAGATTAATTGAAAATATTGAAATTTTACTGGACCTAGATTATGTTTCAACTGACATATTAAGAGGTGTTTATTTATTACTTCTTGTCGGTGTTAATATCGTACTAAATGCGAACATGAAGACTGTATTAGTGGCATAGGCAGAGACATGTTTACCTTTCCAACGACATTCGAAATATATTATAAATCGCTAAGGAAAGTCGCGGGCATTAGCTAGTGTATGTTAGTATATGCGATACTATGTGACGTGTAGGAGGGTAGCAGATAGCAGCACCTGTGGGCGCTAATAAATTACGATAACGCCGCCGCCGTTCACCCACAAAGATTCACTCTTATCTCGTACAATTCGCACTTTTGCAGGGACACGCTCGCACTGGTGGGGGAAATAAATCTGTTAATTCTACTCTAGCGCATTTAATGCTATCGTCAGCTATGATAGGGGTTAAGAATAATAAATTAACACACTGAAAAAGGTTTAACCTCAAGGTGAAAACATTTGGAACTTTATTACAAGGAAATTCGTTTAAATACTTGTTTTTATTATACCTGTTTTTTAACATTAATGTTGATGTATCTTTAATTATCTTGAAAGCTTCATCTAAAATGCTTACAAGCGGATAACACAACCTTGACACTAAATTGGTTTCGTAATTAATTTGTGTTATGGCTTCTTACGTTATATTCGACACCTCAGTATATTTGGATAATATTCAATAATTATTGGGATTGATTTATTACGAAATATAGATTATTAATAATTCAATGTTCAAATGTAATAAGACGTTATGCATAGCAATTTCTAAAGCCGATTTACGTTCATTGTTACTCAGAAAACAATAGAATAGCGATTGTAATTATGTTATAGATCGGTCGATAGAGCTTAACCTCAGTGTAATGTACCGTTCAATGATTTACAATTCAATCTATATATATATATAGTTATGGAACATAATACTCTATTGTTTAAATTAATCCTATCGTTATACTTAATACTAACCTAACTCTCTATTACAGTTCTATCTTGATTAAAGTTGGTTTCCATGGTGAACGCAAACGAACTACTCGGAATTGACTTCGCTTACAGTAGCTTGAGATACAATGTATACTATGCTGTAGCTAAATACCTCAATACTATTATAATAATATAAATGCGAAAGTTTAGATAGATGGTTGGATAGACGTATTTTTGTTAGAGTTTGTAACATAAACGGCTGAACCGATTTCGTTACAATTTAGTATAGATGTAGAGGATAGTCTTTAAGAATACATGGGCTACTCACTTTTGTTTTTTTTTTAATTCCAGAGTCCGGAGTTCCGGACAGAGTCGCGGGCGAATGCCAGTACAAAAATGGTTATGTCTCTTAAATGTGAATGACTAGCTGGTCCCGTGCGACTTCATCCGCATGAAATTATAAAATGTTTATTTTATTTCTCTAATTGTCAATTACAAAAGTCAAAATTACCGTTACCATAATATCTTTGCTTCCTTAATGTTGGCAGCTTTTAGTTTATAGTCCCTTCCCACTTGAAGTTTTATTTTTATTACCCCCTAAGTTTAATAGCGTGAAAATATATGATATAACCTGAGGCATGTCGTAGGGCTTTGTGTTGGAGATATAATTATTCAAAACTATGCTGTGATTGCCGACATCCTACGCCATGGAATAGTGGGTGTAGAAATATAGATATGAATTATTAGTTACAAGACGTCGGTACCTCTATCCATAAAGTGGCGACAGCTAACTTAGAAGTATTCACAAAGCGAGACAAGAGCCCAAAACTTATAAGTTTGCTAGAGAATATGAAAACAAACACGTAAGCAAGTGAAATCGGATTACACGGGGGGGCTTTTCTGCAAAAACCAATAGGTCTGGAACGCCTCTGGGACGGTCCCGTAATCTTATTAGGGATGCGTGAGCGTACTACTGAAACCACTGGGCGCGTTGCGTTTAATTTATAATACTTTAGTGTGCACTCAATAAACAATTGAATAACGTTAAATACAAAAATATGTAATTAAAAAAATATTATAATACATGTAATAATTGCAATTATTATGTTTTAATCGTTAGAACTTACAAATAAAAAAGTATTTACATTCGGTTAGAACTCCAATCAACCTAGAGTGTTTTTGTAGTCTTATATTGATATAAGCTTATGCTCTTAGGTGTTTTAACTCTAAGATAACTTTGATTAATTAGACGTATATTAAAAGTAAGATTAATAATCGTATTAAGTTATTGAAAAGATAACTTAATTCGCATAAGATAAGAGAGAAAATAGGTAAATACATAATTGATATGCCTGCGGAATCCCTTGTGAATATACCTTCGTTTGGTTAGCTTTGGTAGAACATTTTCTTATACGAATGGATAAAAATCCACCCGTTTCTCCCCTACCCATTCCATACGAATGTGAGAGCTTCGTCTGCTGCGACATTATTGATAACTGTGGCGTGTGAACAGGACCGTCAATGTTACGGTTATAGTTCCATGGACTACGGAACTTTGTCATTCAACTTGACAACGCGTAAAGTTTTCGTCGCCAACATTGTTGGGAACTTGTTTCAATTAGATCTGCGGTATTCAGGTCGAATTATGTTGATTCGCTTGATGACGGAAAAACTACTTCTCGTAGTTTATTATTTATTAGTACTTTTAATTACTATAATTATATGGGTTATATATTTTATTCAATATATGCATTACTTTTTCAATAAATCTAGTATTCATAAATAAAGAAAATACAATTCTTTACGTTACTTTACGCAACAAAACGAAAAAATATTGTAGTTGAATTTGGTGAGAATTGAACTCTCTTTAGTATTTTTTATGTATGTACATTTACTTCTATTCTTCAACGTGGAATTATTAAAAATTGTGTGAAAGTTATACCATAATATACAATAACCAGAAACTATATCCTGACTTCAACTAAATCTAGCATTAATTTCCAAGCTGCAAAACACAGAAAGAACAAAAGGTTGCGGTAGAATAAAGCAAAATTCTTGGAGACTCATATCCATTTCAAATGTTTCAATTATAGTAACTACAGAGCGCTCGGGAGCGGGAACAATAAGATCAATTGGGCTTCGGAGCGTAATTACAGAGCCGATACGCCGGGCTAATAACTACTGGCAGCGGACCAATTGCTGGCAAATTATCGATATTGTTCCACAGGCCTAATGTTTTACAAAATGTTATATCCGAGCTGGTGCCATGCTCTAATGATCCATAATAAGCATTGATAATTTATCCCAATTCGCTATGGTGTTTTGAATTTATGCAGTCATTGTAAAACATGAGTTGACAATAATCAATAAGTATAGACAAATAACAGGATTTATAAAATTAATATTTGGGAATCCTGAAAATGATGTAGCATCAGTTTAAGGACAAAAAAGAAAATGTTATAATACAATCGTAAGTTATGGCCTACTTACGATCACGTTGGCCACTTGCCCAGTCGAGACTTATTCGAGGGGACGTGTTTTTGTCTGCGTTACGAACGCTTTCGACACAATTTCGTTAAGTGGCAGCGTAAGGTGGAAGGTCATTATTTACATTTCAATAGCAATTACTTTCAAGAACTCTATTACTATCTAACGTCAGATCTTCTGGCGTTAATTAAGTTAACTTTTAAAAATCGTAAAATATTTGATATTATTTCAGAGTATTCAGAATGGAATTTGTCATACTTCATACTAAAAGTGGTAGTGCCCGCTTTAACATCTTAGCACTAATGGGCCGGCACGCCCGGTGTAATACCACGACCACACAGAAGACAGGCGTGAAATGGAAGCAATTCCGTGTTTCGTCTGATGAGTGTGGTGCCGGAGGCCTAATTTAAGTCCCTTTCTCTTTACCACCCTTTTCTTATAAGGAGGGATTGGGAAGAGGAAGTGGATTTGACGGTGGAGGAGATGCATAGGAAGGGGAAATATGCTCTTTATGTGCGTTTCCTCCTCCGTCGTATAAGGGTACGCAACGCATCTGCAATTGCGGATGTCTATGGACAGCGGTCGCTTCGCCATTTTGGCGATATCAGGTGG